AATTATATATATATATATATATATATATATATATATATATAAGAAAGCAAAGAAATATGTTTGGACATTGTGTGAGGATTGAAATTGGTGGATTTACTTTCATGTGTATTTTTAACTCATTCCCCATTGCTTCTCTATTTTTTTTGGTCTTTAAGCTACTTATCCATACATTCCATACCTTGTCCTTAGCCCCATTACAACCTTTGAAAGTCCTTTTCATCTTTATGTGCGTGTGTTTTTGGTTGTTGATTTTAGAGGCTTGCCAAGTCTATGTGGTGCTTATTTTTCATGGGTGTTTTGAGAGTAAATAGTAGCCTAAATACTTGAGTGATACAGTGCATATCTTGTGAGGTTTTGTTGATTTTCATTCACCTCTTGAGTGATACATGTTTTGAATTGTTTGGACAATGTCCATAGGTGTCGGGTTTCTTTGACTCTTTGAATGTTGAAGGTTGTCTATTCATTTCGTTTCCCAGGTTTCATTGAGGAGTATGTATATCTGTTTATGTTTTTGTTTGTCTTTGTTTTTGTTTTTGTCCTTTGCATGATTTTCTTTAATGTTTTTGAATTTATTTCCTTGCTTTGCTTCTTGATTTTTCCCAGGAGTGCAAAAGGCAAAGTGTGGGGTTCTTTGATGAGTTATTATATTCTCATATTTTCTTCCCTTTTTGAACTTATTTTAATCAGTGTTTTGGGTTTAACTTTCTGTTATTAGTGAATTTTTTATTAATTGGGCTTTATTGGGCCAATAATTCAGATTTTAATTAATTTGAATCTATTTAATCTAATTTTTGCTCACTATTATTTTCAGGACAGTTTAAAGCAATTTTGGGCCTAGAAGATTGGGCCATATGTCATATTACAGTTTAAAGCAATTTTGGGTTTGAAAAATTGGGTCAAATATTATATTTTATTCTATACGGGAACTAACATTGGTTCACTGTTTTATTTATCATTTTTTTTCTACAAAGCTCCAAAAATCATAATTCTGGAAGTATTATAAACTAGACACATTTAGATTTTCAGAGGATCCAAAATCATTCAATTCGGAGCTAAATTGGATTTTACATAAATTATCCAAAACGGGTCAAGCGCACTAGGCTGGCCCAATGGACATGATTTAGTAATTTAAGTCTCCTAAATTCATTAGACCTTTGAAAATAGTAGAAACAATGATGTTTTAAAGCTAACTCAAAAGGCTTTCAAAGAAGACTAAAATCACTTAATTTGGATAAATATTGAAAATATTGCACGTGTTTGAAGTTGGCGGACCTGCACTGAAGCCAACTTATAATGTGTTTTGTCAACCAGTTGGGCCCAAAACCTAGATTAAGATTAGGGTTAGGGTTATTTATGTGTTAGAGATGTAGGGTTAAGGTAGAACGACACCATGCAACAGCTACATAGCCGCCTTTCATCTTCTGCAATTTGTATTCAAGTTTGTTTACTCTTTTGTCATTATTTTAAATTCTTGTTTCGATTTTAATTATGTCTCTTCTTCTATGTTTTCGATTTTCCATGGATAGATAAATCTTTGTATTGATTTTCTGAGGAGAATGCAAGTAGATCTTTGAGGTTTTCTTCTTCAATTTCATTTCATTTATTATCTTAAATCTTCATCTTCTAATCTTAATGTTGAATTATAATATGTTTATGCTTAATAAACCGAAACTAATATCATAGTTTGCTTAATTCTGTGTTAGAGATGAGATTATGTGATGTATGCAATACTTAATTGTATAAGGATAATTTGGAGTTAATCTTCACTTAGTTGATTAATTTCATGTTGGAATAAGGGTTAAGGAAAATTTGGGATTAATCTTCGTTTAGTTGGTTAATTTCATATTGGAATAAGGGTTAAAGCTAATTTGGGATTAATCTTCACTTAGTTGATTAATTTTGGATTGGAATATAATTTGGGATTTATCTTCGCTTAGTTGGTTAATTTCGAATTAATTTCGTAACCTAGGATAAGTGACACTGCATTGGAATCAGGAAATCAATTACATTCTAATATGTTTTTATTCCGCATTTTTATAATCTGTTTTTGTTCTGTTTCATCTAATATTTTAAATCTGAAAATTTCCCCTTTTTGTTGCTATTCTAATTCAAAAAATTGATAAGCTTTGATAGAAATTCGTGGTCTTTGGGAGACGACCTAGGAAAGCTTCCTAGTACTACATTTATCTATTTTAATTATTTGACTGAGTATGACATTGATCATTAATCAATTAATGGGCTTTAGTTTGGTTTTGTTTCAAGTTGTAATAAGGGCCCAATTGGAAATTTAGGTATTTGCCTTTGGGAGACCAATAGGGTGCATAGCTGATTGACTTTTGGTTGCCACAATTTCAGTTATAATAAACCATTAAGTAGTTTTCAATTCTTAGGTTAATGGATCATTATTAGCATTTATTTGCCTCCATTAAATAGTTTTAAATTCCTAGATTAATGGATCATTATTAGGATTTATTTTCCTTTATTGAATCTTTATAATTTTGATGACAAAAATTCTATATTAGCTGAACCATTTTTATCAAAAATACAAGTTGAGTTTTATTCACAAATATTAAAGTTTAGCTCTTTTATCGTAGTGACAGTGATTCTCCTAAGTTCTTAAGTGGTTCAAGAACACTTGGCTGTATCAAAGGACTTGCACATCCTTTGTGAGTTACCTCCCTTAGGAAGAATGATTATTTCCTTCAACCTTTCACATTGACCTCTTGTCCTTTCTTTACAAGAACAAAAAAAAAACTCAATTTTATGCAGATTTATTTCGTGATCATAAATTTCGTTCTACTTATTCAAATTGGGTGTTTCTTGAGCCTAAATTGAAATTTAGAAAGATAAATTTCATCTCGTTTTTTAATCACCTCAATCGAAGTTTTATAGCTTGAAATATTGACGTTTCAATAATTCTACCCAACCTTGAAACTTTCACACTTTCTAATCCACCTTCTCACTAATTTCCTAAATTTCTTACAAAATCTTAACCCTAAAGATCCTAAATCAACCCTTGTGCAAATGAGGTTCATATCACCTACATCCTTCGTGGCTCAAAGGGACCCCTTATACGCCTCGATCATGTTTCAGTCAACAATCCAGAGCCGAGTCCGTGACACTTGAGCATGACAGTTACAAGATGATGACAGGTATTTAATTTCCACTGTCTCAAGATATTAGGATGATTCATTCTAATGGACCTCGACATAGCCTAGATTCAGCCAAAGTACTATTAGACCGCTGTTTATTAATAATTCACAAGTATAAAAACACCATGGTTAGCAATCATAAAGGAGAAGGTCATCGGATGAGAGAGTTGAACACTCTATGTAAGGAAAAAGAATAATTCCTTACAAATGTGACGAATTTTGAAGTTGTCTTCTTGGCCAAGACAAAAGAAAATGAAGTTCTTGTCTAAAAGAATAATGCTTTGCCATTGGAAAAGAATTCTTTAATAGAAATGGTTGAGAAGGCAGAGAGCTCGACTAAAGTTGTTGAATTGGCCTAAGAAAAAACTGAAGTTGACATTCAAGTGGCCATAGAGAAAATTGAGCTACTTGAGGTGAAGGCCACCGACCTCGAACAAACATGTGATAACATGTGGGCGAGTTCCAAATAACTGAGGAGTAGCTGATGGAAGTGTATGAGGATGGGTTTAAGAAGGTTGTGGAACAGAGAATTGTTATTAGGCCTGGTATTAATACCAAACTTTTTTATATGGAGAAGATAGTGATAGATTGCCAACTTGTATTAAAACCCCTTTAGATATCTTGTACTTTGAATATTTTATATATACTAAATGTCATTCTATTTATGTTTTAAATATATATTTTCATGATTTAAATGATGTTCAAATCGATGATTTTTTTTTTTAATATTTTACCTTTTAACCATAACATGCTTTAATATGAGTGGTTCCATGTCCGAATATCATCTTATCGAACAATTCTTGTAATTTGTACACCCCGTTGTGAAATGAGCCTATAATTTGGTAAGGGTCATCCCAATTTGAAGTTTATTTTCCATCTACCCGGTCTTTACAAGCTTCACCAACTTTCCTCCATACCATATCACCTTTCTAAAAACTTCTCTCTCTTACCCGTGTAGTGTATATTTCATCTACTCTCTTCTTGATTTCTGGGTCTTGTCTCCTACTTCGAGTAGGCATGGCAATGGGATGGAGCGGAGGTGGGTTTTGCCTCCCCAATCCTCACCTCCGACTTTTTTAACCATCCCGTCTCCACTTCGATCTCCGTCAGGGTTAGAAATTAAGTCATCATTCTCGTTCCCATTGGATATCAAGTTTTTCTCGCCCCCACCTCGTCCTTAATTTATATTATTTTTAAAAAATAATTATATTTATAATAAATTAATTTTAATTTTTATATATTTTTATACATAAATAAATATTTTTAATTTTACAATTTCTAATTATTATTAATTAAATATATATTTTAGTTTATTATATTTATATTAAAATATTTACGTAAAAGAAACATTTTATATTTTTCTTTATACGTATCAACACCTAATTTCATGTAGATATAAAATAATAAATAGATAACAACTTATTTAAAAAAAAGATAAAAAATTATTTTTTTTTAAACATTTTAAAATAAAAAAATAAATATAATATAATAATATTATTTTAACATTTCTACAATTTTTAAGAGAAGAAAAATGAAAAAAAAAGTTTTATTTATAAAAAAAACCAAAGAAATTAAGTAATAAGAAAAATAAAATGCAAACTTTTATTTTTGGGGCTAGCCATCAAATCATCTACCCTAATTTTGGTTTATACTAATTTTTTTTTGTTTTAAAAATGCCACCGAACGCTATTTTCCTTGTCCTCCACAACCCCATTCCAATCGCACTCACCAACACTCCTTTCATTCCCTTCTTCTTCACCCAGCCCGAGACTCATTCACTTCATCTCGTCCCTTCAGTTCACTCCACGCTCCTTCCCATTTTTTTCTCCCAATCTCCTCCCTCTCCAGTTACCGCTCACCCTCAACCCCAATCCTAACCTCCACCCTCAACTCCGGCCATCGCCAATCCACTGCGCGGTCAGCCACCACGAGCCGTGGCCGCGCCCCTAACCACTCAGCCAGCTCCCACCACCATCGAATTAGCCGCAGGCTAGCCGCACCTCCACGGAACACCCCCACTTTCCCTTCTCCCTCTCGGCCTCTCTCTCTTCTTGACACCGCACCCTGTCCCTCAATCCCCACCTTCAACCACCTCAATCGCGCCCCATAGTCGCCTCCTCGCACACCGCTCCAGCCACCACTGTGAACCCGCAAAAGCTCCGCGTCAGAATCTCGCCCAAACCGCCGCACCTCCGTCTTGCCTCCCAGCCTTCGCCGTGAGCCCTAGCTGCGGTCGGTACCGCACCCCAACCCCTCGGTGCCTCACTCTCCACCCAGCACCAGACTAACCCTAACCGCCGCCACCGCACCAGCCTTAGCTACCTCCGCGACTGCCTACTCCCTAATCCACTCATACTTAATGTTTGTTCCTTTTTTCTATTTTGATCCATTTACTCTGTTGATTATGTTTTCATATTAGTCCTGGATTGGTTCAATTCTGGGTATATTAGTGGATTTTGATTTGTTGTTTTTGATTGTTGTACGTAAGATATGTGAAATTTGGCACTGTGGGTTCTAATCTGTTCTTACCTGTGTTGAGTTTGGTTTTAGTCGAGCACCGATGATCTGATTGGGCCAACTAGCATGGCAATGGGACGGGATTTAATTTTTTTAATCATATTCGTTCCTTGTCCTGATTTCGCAGAATTAGAAATCAACTCCTCATGGTTTTGGACTTTTTTTTCTCGTTTTCGATTTGTATTATATAAAAAATAATAATTATATTTATAATAAATTACTTATATTATATATTTTTTTATATATAAATAAATATTTATAATTTTATAATTTATAATTATAATTAATTAAATATATATTTTTTAATTTATTATATTTATATTAAAATATGTATGTAAAAAATATATTTAATCATTATATATATATATATATATATATATATATATAATATTTATAATATTGTTATTATTATTATAATATTATATTTAAATATTTATAATATTATTAATATATTATTATTATAATATTATATTTAAATATTTAATTATATATATAAGATAATTAATTTTTAAATTTTTATTTAAAAATAAGAAATATATAATTTATAAAAAATATTTAATAAATTAATTTTTATTTAATTAGTTTAAAGTAATAAAAGTTTAAATTATTAATTTTTTTAACATTTTGAAATATAATTATTTTATTAAGATAGAATTTGATATATGATAAATAAAAATAATAAGATAAAAAATTATGATATAATAAAATCTAATAAATATAAATTATAAATAAAATAATATTAGTTATTACAAAAATTTATGTAAAATATTTAAAAAAAATTAAAAAAAGTTTTGTGTTTATCAAATTAATTAAAAAGATTAAAAAAAATTTATGGAAGATATTAAGGAAATGTGAAAAATAGAAAGATAAAATAAAAAATAATATAATAAATTAATTGATATAAAAGATTACAAAAGATAAAAAAATTAAAAAGTGGGTAGAAGAAAAATAAAAATAATAAAATATAAAAAAATGAAACAGAAAAGGAAATACTTTTAAATTATTAATATTTTAAAATTTAAATTTAAATATATAGTCGGGGTGAGATGAGATTCGGGTGGGAATTGCATTACCCATCCCCGTCCTCGTCCTTGACTTTTTAAAGTGGAGAAAATCCAAACCCGTCCCCACCCTTAGTCAACTCGGATTTTGTAACGACCCTAGAAATCGCTAGTATAATGATGTCTTCGCAAAGTAGTAAATAACATATATTTTACATTATATTATCGTAATTGTAACATATATTGAAATTCCGGTTCACTAACGAAACTTCAAAATATAATAACATAATTTATTTATATATTATACATGTAAAAGTAGCTCTTCGAAGCTATCCCACTCGAACTATCCATGTTGTCCAAGTAGTCACATCTCCATCTCTCAACTCCTGATCTGCTCCCACATAAGAGTGATCATCGCAGTCCCATCCACATAGAAAAATAGGGGTAAGTATTAAATCATTCGATATAATAAAACATATATAAAAGTAATAATTATATATTATGATCAATTACAAAATCATCAACACATTAAGATACCTTTCAGAAGTATACCCTAACTATACCCGAACTCAGAGGCTATCATCTGTGGGCACATTATGATCGGCATCCGCAGTACCATTCTGACCACCCTTCACACAGAGTAGGATTACTGGCGTCCTTCATCACTCATACTGGAGTACCCCTCCGGGCGCGCCACCAGTCATCCCCCATCGACTTCTCACCACCTGATCTCGTAGTCTACATGACCCGACCAATCAGTGAAGTCTGGGACCTCATTCAGAATCTTCTGACATAGTTATTACACTAAAGTACTCTGTACCACCCCGGGTACCATTCAAACATAACAAAAATTATTCACATTTGCCGGATTCTGGATCACCTGTCCTCACGGCTCATTCGGGTCAATAAAAATAGGATTTGACTGATTCTGGCACCAACCCGCCGGGCTTAGTCTAGCCAATATATAACGTCTTAGGACTGATTCTGGGCATCAGCCCTCAGGCTCAGTCTGACTCACACACGTCACAACACACTACTTTCATTATCTCTCTCTCTTTATATATATATTTTCCTAAAATTATTTCCGAAATCATTTTCGAAACTATTTCCGAAACTATTTTCGAAATCATTTTCAAAATCATTAAATTACTATTTTACCCTTAATCTTTTCTTAAAATTCCATGTATGTCCCTAAATGACTATTTTATCCTTAGTCATTTTTTAAAATTCCTTCCATGTCCCGAAAATGACTATTTTGCCCTCGGACATTTTCAAAAATTTCTTCCATGTCCCGAAAATGACTATTTTACCCTTGAACAATTTCAAAAATTCCATTTATGTCCCTAGGATATAAAATGACTATTTTGTCCTTGAACATTTTCAAAAATTACATTTATGTCCCTAGGATGTAAAATGACTATTTTACCCTTGATCTTTTTAAAAAATCTCCACCATATCCTTTTCTTCTTCCTTCGCCCAGTAACAGTGTCGAATTTTGCAGATTTTGTCAGATTTCAAATTACTCAGTTTTAGACAACCAAACTAGTCCAAAATCGGAATTAAACATGAATTATATCTAATTTAAGTTGAAAACAACAATTTTACCATATAATTCATCCTTAATTTCAAGAATTTAATCAATATTTAAAACTTTGGAAAATATGAATAGTAATCACCTCTAGTACGCCATTTTCAAAATCTAGGTTTCAAATTTCTCAGCTTCAATCACCCAAATTAGTTCCAAATCAAAATTAAACCATAAATATGTTCAATTTAAGTTAAAAACAACAATTTTATTATATATTTCATCCTTAATTTCAAGAATTTCAAAAACTTTCAAACGGTGAACAGTTCATCAGAATCAGAATTTCTTCAAAATCAGACATTCAAATAATTCATATCTCTACTCCTATTCCTTATTCACACGATATTCACAGAGTACCCAACAATTCAATTTTATATATTGAATGAATTAAACTTCCCCTTACCTGGTATGGTATTTCTACCGAAGCTTTCCCACTTAATTCAAGCTCTCTCCCGTTTCACCAGATCCTGCACGAATAGAGTCTCATTGCTTGAAATTTAGACTGTTGAATATAGAGAAAAATAGGGTTTGGAATTAATTTCCCTTGTGTATAAATCACACATAGGGTGGTCTATTTATAGTAGAGATACAACTAAAAGAGTAACTGAAAGTAACAGAATAAACAAAAGATATTGTTTGATATTGTGGTTACCAATATCTAACAATATCTTAACAATATTAAATAATATCTAAACAATATCTAACACTCCCCCTCAAGTCTGGAGCATACAAATCGTATGTGCCAAGCTTGTTACAAATATAATCAATTCTAGGACCTCGTAAAGATTTAGTAAAAATATCTCGCTAACTGATCACTTGAGTTAACAAACTCGGTCTTGATATCTCCGGACATAATATTTTCTCGAATAAAATGACAATCGAGTCTCAATGTGTTTGGTCCTCTCATGAAAGACAGGATTAGAACTAATATGAAGAAGCGACTGATTGTCACACACAAGTGTCATTTGAGTGACATCTCCAAATTGTAACTCTCTAAGCAATTGCTTGAGCCAAACAAGTTCACAGGAAGCCGAGGCCATAGCTCTATATTCCGCTTCGCACTCGGATCTTGCCACAACACTTTGTTTCTTACTTTTCCATGAGATCAAGTTACCACCAATGGAGACACAATATCCAGATGTAGATCTTCTATCCAAAGGAGATCCTGCCCAATCAGCATCTGAGTAGCAAACAACTCTTGTATGGTTATTAGAACCATATAACAATCCTTTTCCAGGAGATCCTTTAATATACTTGAAGATACGAATGACTGCATTCCAATGATCTTCACATGGTGAATTAAGAAATTGACTTACCACACTGAATGCAAAGGAAATGTCAGGATGAGTAACTATAAGATAATTCAATTTTCCAACCAATCTTCTATACTGCTCAGGATCAGATATGGGCTCCCCCTGATTTGGTAGAAGTTTAGTATTGGGATACATGGGTGTATCAACAGACTTTGAACTCATCAACCCAGTTTCCTCCAAAATATCTATGGTATACTTCCTCTAAGATATAACAATACCATCATTGGATTGTGCCACCTCAATACCCAAGAAATATCTAAGTTTGCCAAGATCTTTGGTTTGAAAATGGTGACAGAGATGTTGTTTCAACTGAGAGATGCCATGGTTGTCACTACCTGTAAGAACGATGTCATCAACATATACTATCAAGTAAACACATCCAGCACTCGAGTGTCGATAAAAGACAGAATGATCTGATTCACACCGAGTCATACCAAATTGTTGAACAACCTTGCTAAACTTTCCAAACCAAGCCCTAGGAGACTGTTTTAGGCCATATAGGGATTTGCGAAGACGACATACCATCCCAGAAGACTCCCCTTGAGCAATAAACCCAGGAGGTTGCTCCATATATATTTCTTCTTGCAAATCACCATTGAGGAAAGCATTTTTAACATCTAGTTGATAAAGAGGTCATTGTTGAAGAGTAGCCATGGCGATAAACAAACGAACAGAAGCCATCTTTGCCACAGGGGAAAAGGTATCTCCATAATCCAACCCAAAAATTTGAGTATAACCTTTGGCCACAAGACAAGCTTTGAGGCGATCAATAGTACCATCAGGTCCAACTTTGATAGCAAACATCCA